TCAGCAGTCAACGCGATCATCTTTTCCATCTGTGCTCCAAGAATTATTTTTAATTTTTTCGGACAGCATTATACTATGGACTAATTACCTTACAATCTTCTACACTTTCATGCATTGAAGTTTTTAATCTAATTTTCCGTGAAAAAAATCCTTGTATGTTTTCAAATGTTCCTTTTCAACCTAGTAGATTTTTTAAATTTTTTTACTTCCATTAATTTTTGTATTTAGTTTTTGCCTTGAGTAGTGGGGTTATATGATTAGTTGAGGAATGTTGCTGTTTGAAAAGCAGCTCACCATATAGCACGTATAGCTGCTTTTTCTGAAGCAATATGTCAGATCGCTATGGGATGTTCAGAATGCTTTGTATGACTCTTAAGGTCCGGGCCTAGAAATGTAAGGAGCAACTTTACTTAATTTTTGTGGCTTTATATAAATTTAAGTTTTAGCTAGAGGGAGCTTTAAAATATAACAATTGAAAATAGTGTTGGATGAACAAACTGGTTCTCTTTCAGAAATCAGTCAGGCATCCTGAACATCATTTATGTACTTTATCAAGCACTCCAACGAACCTGTTTCCCTCCCTTGCTGGCTGGTACCACCCCGAAAGGAACTGTATATACAGAAGCATGGGGTTAGGGAGAGAAATATGCTTTGCATTTATTTCATATTCCCAATTTAAGAGAAGTAGACAGAGGGTTTCTTTTTCGGTTGACTGACTCCCCAACAAAAGTTACAGATTAGAATACAGTTTTCAGTAGTTTAACCTCTCTTATGAACATATAAAGAAAGAGATGTGTAGTCACAAAGCATTCTAATTCATATCTAGCACTAGTAAGTGACAGAATCCGATATGTAAAGATTAGTAAGGAGATAAATAAATAATGAGTTTTGGGTTTGAGTAGTTGGGAAGAAACTCACAGTTCCAATATAAAACTGCTACTCTGCCCAGTGACAGTTGAGTGGTCATTTATTGCATATTGTTAATAAAGAAGCTAGCACTAGTTCTAGACATACTAGCTGATGTGGAAGGATGAGTTGATTTTATCTCCCTGTTTTCTGAAAACTGATCTGCTGGCTTTCAGAAACAAGTCAGTCTGACTGTTTATGAAATAAGGCATCGTTCCTTCCGCTCTGGAAGGAGTTATGCCTGATTTCAGGAAGGATGGCTTATGATACAAGGACAGAACCCTTTGTACAGCTTTGAGTTGCTGCATTCTTAAACACTGGATGAAATTCCAGTTGAGAAGAAGTAATCATGTTTAAAAATTGTTTTCAGAGTATTATTGATTGGTATAAAAAAGAAATTAAAAAATTGCATTCTGTTTGTAAAATATTTTCTATCTTGAACTTATCAGATGACAATGGTAAGGACCATGAGAACTTTTGTATCCCCAATGTAACTGAAACTGATCACATGAATAAAAGGTAAATGAATGTTACTCCAGAGTATGTTCAGCGTCTTTTCTTGAACTTTACCTGATCTTAAATTTACATGGAAAAAATCCCTTCTTTAATTTCAGTTGTTTATTTGTACTCAAGTCTAGCTCTTTGATAGAAGAGTTCCGGTTGTCCTTACAGATTTGACACGTTGAACATCTGATGTCATGAAACCCACAGATTTTGTTCATTTGTGGAATTGTTGACATAGTTAAAGTTTGGTTCAAAATAGTCACTTCAAACATAATAAGGGTGTATCTTATACTACATTTTTTTAAAAAGAAATCAGTTTCCAGTTTCTCAATTTGCTGCACTATTTAAATTGGTATAACGCTGGTGAATTCTTCCTGTTGTCTTTAGCAAGAGAGAGGTAAAGACTTTGATTTTTTTTAAAAATCATTTTGGCCTTGGTTTGAATAATAGGCATGTTCACTGATGTTCCTGGGAGACAGACTGACATAAAACTGTCACCAGCTGGATTGCATCCCCATGTTTATGTAGAAGCATTTTTATCCTAATACATGCTATTTATTTTCTGCCTTCCAACTCACCTTGTGTTGTTACTTAGGATTCTTAAGGCACCAACAGATTGATTCTAAATAACCCTGCACAGTTGAAGTGATGTAAAAGCAGCATCTTGGTTGAACAGTCAGATGCTCTTGGTGACCAGCTCTAGCCTTGAATGCCCTTTTTGATCCTTCAGGGAGAAACACCTGAAGACCTATCCAATTTCTTATTATTCTGACTGCCATCTTGAAAGCAACTATTGATTTAATGACATATAACTCTCTTCCGCATCACATTAATTTAACAACAAAACAGTTGACTGCTTGGTGGAGACATCCAGTTTACTTTAATTCTCTTGGTCTGTGCCTGCTGCTACATAGAAGCAGGTCTGGATTACATGTGGAATTATCTGTAAATGAACTCTGTGTTTCCTCTGGGATCAGAGTACTGTACAAAGAAGAAAGGCCCAAACACTTTGGTGGCTGTATCTGCTATCTTGTTTTCATTTGGAAGACTTACTGTAAATCAGAAATAGGGAACAACTGTACCACAGTGTCAAAGCGGATTTTCTGAAGGCTCGTGGGTATTTATGGAGGCCCTCACAGTTATACAGATTTCTAATTCTTTGTCATCCCAGTTGAAATTTATAGCTCCAGATTGAAGGGTGCGCATAGTGAGGCATCTCACAATCATTTTTCAATCGTCAACATAGAAGATAAGTTATTTCAGAGATAGCAGATGGAGAGATTTTTACTCCTAGACAAACTGCTTTTGAATGATCTTCTGGATTTGGGACTCTTTTTCAAGACAATGCAGAAGAAGCAGCCAGTCCTTTGCCATCTGCCCTCAGCTTCACCACCCCTTTCCACCATTCTGTGTTTTCTCAGTTCTCCTTCGCTTTTGGTATAGATCTGTCACGTCTCCAATATTTTTGAGAACACTTTGCACATCCACTTGCCTGTGATTTAATAACGTAATGGAAGCAAACAACAACTCATCAGAAATAGCCCACTATTTCTCTTTCTTGAATTTAATAAGGTTCTGAAGACCTTATTTTGCATGTGTGTATGTGTGTGAGAGTGAATGTGTGGTGCAAACTAAAGTAACTGTAGTGCTTGTTTTCCTGCTTAATGCCTTTATAGTACAGTCTTAAGAACATCACCGAAGTCTGGTAAGTATCTCATGGTGATGGTGATAGTGATTTTAATATGCATAAAAAGATATGTAAATTCCTGGAATTAATGGTGTGCTGGTTTATTTGCATTTGATTCAGATCTGTATTTATACTCTGAATTGTTTCATGGCTTTAGTATGTCTGTATCAATTTAATGTCATTTAATCAATTTAATCAAGCTACATCATTGGACTCTTGTGTTAATAATTTCCTAGTCTTACATTGTTGGCTTGTAGTCTTATGCCATCACTTTGTGAAATCTCACCTAAGGCACTTTTGTTATTGATGGTATCAGAAGAGGTAAGAATCCTCTCAGAATGCATATCGTGGTCCATGGGTTCTATAGTGTCTAAACTGGTATTTCCAAACTGAGATCTTTTTTTTCCTGAATAAAATTTGAAGAATAAGAATAACTTGTAAGACTGAGAATTCCTTTCCCTTAGGAGAACCTGTTCACTTTTATTTCTTTTTTGAGTTCAGGATATGCTGCATCACTGCATATTGGAAAGGGGGAATAGGTCACTAGTGGATCAAATGCTTTATAAGCAGAAGGTCCGAGGCTCTCAGACATGCACCTCTGGTCTGAAATTCTGGGAAGGACCCTTGTCTGAATCCTCAGGAACCCCTGGCAACAGATAGATCAGAGATAGGCAGACAGCAGTCTGATTCGGTATAGTATAGCTTCCTATATACTTGTGCTGCATCAGGAGCAAGTGGCCGATCAGCAGAAGCTGGCTGGTAGAATACATGTCCTGAACAGGAAAATGCAGAGATTCAGAGATTACACTTTTGTGGATAGGTGCTTTGGGGTCATATCTACCTTTAATTATTTAGATAAAGGTTCTTGATTCAGTTTGGAAATTACCTAAGATCCTTTTTTTGTGGTGAGTCAAACATTGGCTGAAATCCTGTTACTTAATGTAGTAGAATAGGGCCACTGAAGCACTGGGCATTTGGTGAGTCGAGTCCTTTACAACTTCCATTGATTGAAATCGGTTTACTCTAACTGCAACTTACTTTAGCATAATAAAACACATTTAGACTAAGCCCATTTAAATCAATGGAGCATACCAAGGAGTTGACTCAATAAATCCCCACTGATTCAATAGGCGTACTCTAGTGCAATTTGCTATGCTAGGCAACAGGATTTTAGCCAGTGTCTTCTTGATAATATGCCTTTTGCGCTTGCCTTTCTGAAACTGAAAACTGAGGTTACAGTAGTAACCTTTAAGTTGTATACTGGTTTCATAATGCTGCATATGCTGCACCTTCTTTGTTAAGTGTTTGGATTTTTGGATCCTAAAAGTCAAAGAGGGTGTTCCCTGGGAGCAGCCTGGCATTCTCTGTCTTTGCATGCCCTCCTTATCAGCTACCCACTTCTATTTCCATGGGACCTGCTGGGCTTGCTGTAGCTAGCGCCATGCTTGGAGATTTCTAAAAGATATGGTTCAGGTTTTGCAAATGACAGCAATCAATAATCTTTGCATAATCATGGCATAAAAATGTATTTTTCTGGCCTGTGATCCATAATCTTCTGAAACAATACAAATATTAGCAATCTGCTTGAGTAATGGTTGGAGGTTTACTCTCTTGATATAAGTAGGAAATTGTATGAAACCTGTATAGCTGTTTTTATGATTAAATGGTAGATATCTAAATTAATATTAAAACATTCCAATCATCTCCTTAAAGTATATTTGTATCAATTTGATAAAATTAGACGACATTCCTTGAAAACTCTAAGGAATGTATAAGCCATAGAAATTGCACTTCATTGTGTTATTTAGAGAACAAGAGAAAATGGCTATACAGGTTCTTCATACAGGTGAAACGTTTTGACAACATGACTTCATCAAGTTTTTTTTCTCTCCTCTTGCCTCAGGTTGAGGAACGTTCCAGGCTCAATCGGCAGAGTTCTCCAGCAATGCCTCATAAAGTGGCCAACAGGATATCCGATCCAAACCTGCCTCCTCGTTCAGAGTCCTTTAGCATTAGCGGGGTGCAGCCTGCTCGGACACCACCCATGCTCAGACCAGTTGATCCACAGGTATAGTGCCTTAGTGGTGCCTCATTTTCTTTGCTGGCCATAGGCAAACCAAAGATGAATGTCGAGAAATTCTTCTCATCCAAGGTAATGCACCATCTATGCTTTTTTTTTCATCCCTCAAAGAAGAGATGCATACCACCTCACTTAACATGCTGAAGATCCCACTATGAGTGATAGTGACACTGAATTGAACTGTATGTCTCCTCCACCCCATCCCACACCATTCATTTGGACATACTGAACTAATTTTCTGAATATTCAAGCACGTTCCAGTTTTCTACATTCTGGTTCAGTCCCATTGCTTATGGTCATGATGAGGTAGTACAGGTAGACATTAGTTCTTCAAACCAAAATCATCTAGAACAGGGGAAGAGAATCTTTTTTTTTCTTTTTTCTTTTGGTCATGACAAAGCCTATCATTTCTTGCGATAAGGTAAGTGGGCACGTTAAGAAAAACACAAGAAGGGCAATAAAGGTCTTAAAAGCCAATTAAAAACCATTAAAAAGGAGACTTTGGGGTTTTTTAAAATGCAGTATTTTCCTCATTACCTAGCAGCAAATTCCTTTTCCCTGCTTTTTGTAGTCACATGGGGGGGGGTGCCCCTGAAAATGCTGTTCAAGAATGTGTCCAGGATTCACAGAACAGCCAGAAGTTGGGGAAGCCTTCATGTGAGAACGTATTTTCTGTTTTCCTTGCTCTTCCATTAAGAATGTGGTGGGCAAGGCAGGTAGCTTTGGAGGTCACATTTTCAAGTCACTGATAGTATTGTTTTTTGGGGAAGGTGTGTAAGAGGGAAGTACAGGAAGCTACTAGATAAACAGGCAGTTTGAGGCAGCCACATGTTGTAACCAGGTACAGTGGGAACGCTACACATGGGCTGGAGCCAACTCATAGAAATGTTGGTTAGAAATGTTGGCAAGGAAAGTCATTTAAGCACTGCAACACTGACTTGGTGCTGCATTGTGTCTTAGAGAAGAGTGCATAGTGAATTCAGATAACCTTGCTCCAGTCGACTCCCACTTAACGTTCTGTAGCCTGATAAAAATCCAGCAGTTGTTGCCAAACCGTTGTGCAGGCATTGAAACTGTAAACTTGGCCATTATTCTCCCCAGATTTCAGTAGAACTGTGATCCAGAATCTCTTTACAGAGCATATTAAAGAAGGAATAAAATATATGCATCTTTGGAAGCATTTGTCATTTCTGTGCAGCTGTGAGAGAGCCAAGATTGGCTGCAAATTACTCTCAGGTATATGCTCTATGGCAACCCTGAATTTTCTGTCCTGCAGTGGCCCTGAGAACATGGCTTAAAATGAATAATGATTGCATATATGAAAGTTTGGGGAGGAAAGCAGAGTCTTCACATTCACATGGTTCAATTCATAACCTGACCACAAGTTCTGTTGCAAATCATTGCAAATCATCTGTTTTCCTCCTTTCTTCATTTGCATGCCCTCCACATAAGGCTTCTTCCTCTGAAGGAAATATAGGATATTTGTGATAAATATCGTCCCCTGTCCCACCTTTGGAACCATCAAGTCATAGCTTCCATGGGAAAATATTTAAAAGTTGGTCTGTTCCAGTATGGCAATCCTTCTGTTTCAATTAGAAGCTTTTACAGCCAACTAAACTGAAAAAAAAAGTCATGATCACCACTGTTTGCTATGATGCCATCCCCCTTTTTCCCTATCTGGCATGCATCATTAGTACTCACTTGTTTTGAAAGTAATTTCTCCAAAGTCATGTTACATTCGGGACTGGAGAGAGAACCGCCAGCCTTTTACCAAGGTTGGTGCCACTTAAGCACATGGGGCTTAAATGTACTTATTGTAACCTCATTGCAATGAAGGTATACAGTCTCTTTCCAAAAGCAGAACGTGAAATCTTTCAAAGAAGCAAACTGCAGTGAGACTTGCCGTAGAATCTTCAATTCTTATATCAGTCAGCCAGTTCCAGAGTATAAAAATTCATGCTCATAACTTTGCATAGCTTCTTCTTAATCATTTTATTTTATCCTTCCTTCCTTCCTTCCTTCCTTCCTTCCGTCGGCAACTCAGTGCAACCAAAAAAGAGGAGCACCAGCTTTACAAAAACAAAAACAAAAACAAAACTATATAACAGGTTTATCACAATTATGTTACTATAACAGTAGAAATACAAAAACTGCTAACAAATTTTGGCAAATCCTCAGAGCCTGAACTCCTGAAAACAGCCATTTCTTCTTTGTCTTTTCCCCCTCCTTTCAAACAAGAAGCAACGCCTCAAGGAAGTTCTATATCAATAATAGTTAGTGCATTGTTAAACTATATTTAAAAAAAACCCTGAGAAAAATCAGGTCTCCTCTGTTTTTGGATATACCGGAAACCGTAATACCAAGCAAAACAATTCATTTCATATGTAATTTTCTTAAATCATGTCATAAGTAACACACAATTGTAGAATTGAGAATTATAAAAGCTATCTAGAGAGGAAAATACAGTAATTAAAACACAATGAGGAATCTCATCATTGGCATTTCCTGACCTCAATCTCTGTAATGTTAGAAGCTCTAATTTTTCTTATTATATTTTTATGGAGTTCTGAAATATTAAAAAACAAGAAAAAATCAGTACCAAAACTAGAAATTTGGGAACAAGGTTTTTAATTTTTATTTTATTTTTGAATAAGTATTTTGCAGTCATTTAAATTTTTTAAATCATCTTTTTACCGGTTTATTCTGATGATTTTGTTTTAACTTGGTGCATAGATTCCACATCTGGTCAGTGTGAAATCCCAAGGACCTTCCTTGCCTGCCTCTCAGTCACTGCATGAACAGCCTACAAAGGGAATGGCTGGGTTTCAGGATGCTCTGACGGTGACCTCTCACCGCACTGAGATACCAAGGCAGAACTCGGACCCAACCTCTGAAAACCCTCCTCTCCCCCCTCGTGTTGAAAAGTTTGACCGAAGTTCTTGGTTACGACAGGAAGAAGACATTCCACCAAAGGTAAAGATTGGGTCGCTGCTAATTTGCAAGGTTTAAATTAAGGAGTAGTTCAGTTCAGCTACATTGTCTAAAGTGACCCAGCTGACACATCAGATGTTGCACTGATGTTCCTGCAGTATATGCACACGTGAGTTAAATGGATTTCTGAGAACATGAATGAGGGTCCATTTCTGAGAAGGAATGCAGTTCAGTGGTGGAGCACATTTTGAGTGTAGAATATCTCAGGTTCAGAACCTGCCATTGCTAATTAAAAAAGGATTCAGATAAGACATGATGTGAAGGTCTTCCTGAGACCCTAGAGAGTTACTGCCAGTCAGAGTAAGAGATACCAACAAGTAGTCTGACCTGAAAAAGGATGGCATCATATTTTGCTTGATGAGTTCTGGCTCCCTACCACATGTCCACTACATAGTTAGAGAAATCTCATCTGCCAAGTAAATTAAAAATTGGTTGTTTGGTAGGTAGCACCCCCATATCCATAGGATCAGTATCCATAGTTTCAGCTATTTCAAAGTCTGAAAATATTAAAATATTAAACAAAAAACCCAGGAAAAAAAACTTTTCACATGTATTACCAGAAACAGCCACTAGAGGGAGCTAGAGAATATGTTACGAATACTTGTTAGTGAAGAATACATAGCATGGTCTCTGTCACCCTCTAGGAGCCAGTTCTGGTACAGCATGTGAAAATAATTGTGTTTTTTTTCTTTCTTTTCTTTCTTTTTTCTATACAATGTTTGCTATTATCCATGGTTTTCAATATCTGTGGTGGAGCTTGGAACCAATCTCCAGCAGATATAGTGTCCTACTGTAGTTATTTCTATTGGACAGAAACTCACATGGAAACAACGTGAATGTTACTGGGGCAAGGAAATAGCAAGCCAGAAAGACCGCCTCTGAACATTAGCCATTACTTTCAAAACTTGGCTGAATGAATTAGCACAAGAACATAAAAGATCCAATGCACATATGTGGGTAATTTGGGCACTTTCTCAGACACCACAATTATCCTGAAGTTCACTGGCTTCCAAAGGAATTACATCTAACCATGGATGTGTGACGTTCACAGAAAATGTCCAGAAGTAGATGCTTACAACTTTCTATGTATCAGCTGTGGAAAGAATGAGTGTCCTTGCCCAAAACAGGATCTTTTATAAAGAGCTTCCCATGATGGCAAGGAGTATGTTGACCCTTAGGAGCACTTCCTTGCCTTGTGATTGATCAAATGACTCCTAGGGATGATGCACCCTGGAAGGTCTGAATCCTGTCAGCAACAGCACTCTTGTGCCACAACAAATACAAGTACTGACAGGGTTGCCTGATTTGATATTGCAGTGTCACTGGGGCTGGAACATGCCTTGGTCCAGATATACATTTTATGTCCTTTTGCCAGAACCCAGTGCTGGAATGTAATCCTAGGTGTTCTGATGATGGAGAACAGGAGGATATTTGATGAAACTCAATTATGCTACCAACAGTAAAACACTAAAAAAAGAATTATTAGCTCATCTTTCTGGCATATAGTATACAAAACGTTGTTAGTCCCTAAGCTCTTTACTGAAATAAAAATATAAAAAATGAAAGGAATGCTATGTTGACTGTAAGAGAAATTCCAATTTCTGCAGTGATATGTTTATTAAACCAACTAAAAAAAACCACAAAAGTTTCAAGATACCCTTTTTGGGGGAGGGACGTTTGATGCTCAGGCAATGTAGTTGGTATGCTGCCTTAAGATTTAAAGGGTAGGAAATTAGAGGTACTAAAGCAGGGTTTGTCAGGTGTTAGATTTCATCCTGACAATGAGAAAGCAAAGGAAAAGCAATACATTTTGAAGCCCCATTTTGAAAACTCAAGTATCTTATTTGAAACCCATAACTATGCTGGCCCACAACCACGTTAAAAGAGGAGAGCACAGCTTTAGTCAGTTTTTGTTATTTTACACTGTAGATCTGGTACAGCAGGTCAGTAGATGCCAACATGAGTGGGTTCACCTCGTGTTGAAGGGAGAGAGATTCAGTACCTCTTTTTGGCTTCCCTGAATTTTACTGATAAAGAAAATGGTTGGAAACGTAAAACTTGCCATACTGGATCAAACCTGTAAGCTTTCTAGGCTGACATCATCCTTTCAGATGTAATCAATACTTGATGGAATGTTTCATAAGCATGCCAGGAGCTTTGTGGCTTAATGATGTGCAACAAGTTTTTTTTAATTTGCAATGGAATCCTAGATGTGTGTCTTAAGAAGTAAGCCATATTGATTACATTGGGGCTTACTCCCAGGTAAGTGAGTGTACAGCTGCTGCATTTTAATATGCTAATGTAGTTTTGTTGTTTATAACCTTTCCTTTCGGATAAATTGCAGTGTGGCTGTTAAAAGTTTCTCCTGTGCTGAATCAGCTCTTTGCCTCCAGTTGCATGGCTTTGGAGAGAGAAAATATAGCTAATTGATTAGATGCTGTAATGTCGGCCACAGTTTTCCCCAAAGATTTAAAGGCAGCAAAGGAGTCACTTACTCTGGATTTAAGAGACACTTATTAATGTTTTTTTTCTGTAAGTAAGCGGCAACGGTGGTTCATGGTCTCAGCCTTGCATTGCTTAACTCCCAGCAAAGAAGTAGCTGTATTACTCAGTCTCAGCATCTTGGCAGAATTAGTGAGGTTGGGGCACAAAATATAGTCATTCTTAAAAACTAGTGCTTAGTTCGGCATGAGCTTTCATGGATCATACCTTGAAAACTCTCACTGAAACAAATATTTTAGTATTTAAAGTAGCTGGCTGGATAGCTTAGTGATTTAGGTATCTGGCTATATAGATCAGAGGTTGGGAGTTTGGGTATTTGTGTACGAATACCCCTGCACAAGTGGAGAAAATGAGGGTCCGGCCCCATGGGGCTGGACAGTCCACTCACCAAAGCGCTAATGCCAATGGGGTCCATGCTGCCATTCTATCGCTCCAGAGATCATGATCGCCGAGCCACTTTCGTGCCTCCTGCCAGGAGTGGCTCAGCAGTTGCAAGCTCTGGAACGATAGGACGGATGTATGGACCCCATGGGGCCAGACCCTCGCTATCTCCACCTGTGCAGGGGTATACGAATACAAATACCCCAATCTCTAGTCCCTACTGTGCATCCCAGAAGAACCAGCCTGTGTGGCCTTAGGCAAGCTCCATAGTCCCTGGAAACCCGCAGCAGAAGGAAATGGTAAACCACTTCTGTG